TGTGTTAGCTTTGGTGTTGGCTTTGGAGGATGGAAGACAAAAGGGGGAGCTGGAAGATCTGCCCTTGGGGCCAGGCCAAGGTGGCAGGGACTGGTGGGAGCAGGTCCCACAGGCCCTTTGCCGTGTCCCCCCCTCTCCTGGCCTGTGACACAGCTTTTCCTCTCCGCTCTCCCAGCCCCCTCCAGGCCTTTGTCTCCCCTGGCCTTGGGGAGGGGAGGGGGCCCCATACCCCTCCCCCTCCCTTCCTCCAACTACACACCGATGTCCCCAAGAGACAAAGCAGGGAGACCATCCCTGGCCCCCATTATCCTTCAGTCACTGGTCCCTTTCTTCTCCCAAGTCAGGCCTGATGCCCTCTCTCCAGGCACCTAGGCCAGCCCCAGTCAGCAAGCTGGGAAAGACCTGGTTGTTTTCTTGTGTTTATTAGCACTTGGTCCCCTGAGCCAGGGAGCACCCTGCCTCTGGCCCTGGCAGAGCACCCTGTCCCTCTGAGCTGCTCTGTGTCCCTAGGGGAGAGAGGAGCTCCCTGTGGTAACTGCAGGTCTATCCTGGGCCAGGCTGTGCAGGCTTTGATGGCCAGAGCATCTGAGGATGAGGAGTACCGTGGAGGAGCAGAGATAAGGAGAGACAGCAGAGGGAGAGGCAGCAGCAGGCTCCCTTCCGGGCTGTCAAGGCTGAGCCCAAGGGGACAGAGGGAGAGTGGGGACAAAGGGCAGTCCCAAGGGAGGCAGGACTCACAGTGCCCAGGCCTGGACACACACGGAGCTGGGTGGCAAGGAAGCCACTGGCTCTGTCCCCTTCTGTCTGGAAGGAAATCTCTCCATGGCAGAGGGCAGGCTCCTCACGGAAGAAAAGGTCCCCAGAGGGGGAGGACAGAGGTCCCGTCCTGAGTGATCTCTGGGGACTCTTACAAGTCCTCGGTCCACATCCACCAAGAGTGCAGAGAAAGGCAGATTTGGGCAGACAAAGGGGCTGTGAGGAAGGAGCCCAGACTCCAGAGAGGGCTGAGAGAGGGGGAGAGGGGGAGAGGGGCGCAGGACAGAGATAGAGATAGAAACTGAGAAAGGAGGGGGGATTCAACCCACTTGGGGTGCAGACACTTAGGAGCCTCCTCCAGAAGCCAGGCGCTGTCCTTCTCAGCACATCCAGCTTTCTTTGCAGGAAGCTGTCCAGAGCTGGGGCCACCTCAGGAGGAGTCCCCAGAGTGGGCCTTGGGGGCGCTCCATCAGGCTCCAGGCAGCTGGGGTAGAAACCCGAGGGCCAGGAAACAGCCAAGATGTCCCAGACAGGACACTTGGGTCACCTCCTCCACCGCCACCACCAGTCACTTCATCATTGCGGCCTGATCTCCCCAGTTCATCCTGGAGGGAGGACAGACAGGCTGCAGGCGGGCTCTCAGCCCCGGAGCCTAGGGCCTTGGGCTTCTCCTCCCCCGGGGGCTTGTTCTCTGCTTTGCCTCTTTAGGGCTGTGGAGAAGGAGCTGATCCTGCTTAAGGCGGCCTGGGAACTTTCACCTCCAATACACATCTCCTCCCTCAAGCCCCGACTTAACAGATGGAGGGCCCTTCCTCCTCGCCTCCCTCGGCTCGCAGGAAGGAAAAGGAAAAGGGAAAGTTCCTGGCAGCCCAGCGCCCTGGAAAACAGGAGGGGAAGTGGACAGGGCCCCTCGCTCCCGCAGTGCTCTCGCGTCGCCCCCACCCCGTCCCGCCCCGCCAGCAGCCTTGCCGGCTCCCTCTCCCCTCTCCCCGGGTCGGACATATGGAACCCATTTCGCCGGTGACATTGAAGAGCCGCCTTCCGCCGCGGCTCCTCCGCGCCCCTCGCGCCTCGCCGTGCCCCTGCCACTCGCCGATCTCCTGCCTGGTGACTCGGTTCTGGAAGACAGAACCCAGCTCCGGGCCCCACGGTCCTGGCCTCCGCAGCGCCCCGCGGGCCCGGCGGGGCGGGACCCCGGCTTCTCCTCCCGCTGGCC